TTCATATGAGTGGAATCATATAGTATTTTTCCCCATGATTGGCTTATTTCACTTAGCATAGTATCCTTAAAGTTCATCCAGGTTGTAGTTCATGTCAGAATTCCCTTCCTTTTTGAGGCAGAATAATATTGTATATATAGACCATATTTGGTTTAACTGTTCATCCATTGGTAGCACTTGGGTTGCTTCCACATTTTAGCTATTGTGAATAATGCTGTTATGAATGTGAGTATGTGTCTCTTCAAGACTCTGCTTTCAGTTCTTTTGTGTGTATACTCAGAAGTAGAATTGTTAGATCATATAGTAATTTTGCTTTTAATTTTTTTGAGGAACCACCATACTGTGTCCATAGCTTTGCCTACTCTTTAAAAATGAGGCGAACATAAAAATTAAAGCCACAAAATAGGTGAAGTAATACATTGTACCAATCTATCTAGGCAAGAATCCCAATTTAACTATGATTAAATAAATAAATTTAATTCCTTTTCTTTTCTTCTCCCCCCCCCCCCCCCCCTTAGAGAATGGAACATTTGTTCATCTATTCAGGAGACTTTTTTTGAATGTCTACTATGTATCTGTTGTAATTTGGGTTTCAGCAATGAACAAAACAGAAGTCCTTGCTTTCATGGATGATACAAGCCATTGGTTTTTAAAAAAATACCTTTCCTGGAATAGAGGTAGATTTTTAGACTGGAGGTGTCAAACAATTAAGCTAGCAATTTGTATAGATAAAAAATTGATTTTGAGGTACCAGTTAAACAGACTTGGTGCTTTTAAATAATATGATAAGTTTACCTTATGCAGTAGTTGGTCCTCTGTATCCATGGATTCCACCTTGTTGCTGATAGACCTACGGTAGTCCGTCTGTACAGATTTTTTACTTTTTGGCATTATTTCATAAACAATACAGTATAACACATTTTTACATTGATTTAGGTACTATTAGTAATTTATGGATGATTTAAAGTATATCGGAGGATATGCATAGGTTATATGCAAATGCTATGTTATTTTATTTATTTATTTTTTTAAGATTTTATTTATTTTTTAGAGAGGGAAGGGAGGGAGAAAGAGAGAGAGAGAGAAACATCAATGTGCGGTTGCTGGGGGCCGTGGCCTGCAACCCAGCCATGTGCCCTGACTGGGAATTGAACCTGTGATGCTTTGGTTCACAGCCCAAGCTCAATTCACTGAGCTACACCAGCCAGGGCAAAATGCTATGTTATTTTATATAAAGGGACTTCAGCATCCTTGGATATTAGTATGTGCAGGGGTCCTAGAACTAACCCCCCTTGCACCCCTAGAGTTGACTGCATTATTTGAAGGGGAAGTGAAGTCTAAGCAGTGAGAATTTTAAATTTCCTGTGTATATTAATTTCTTACATAATAACCAACTGGTGTGGGCTTTAGCATGAAAGCTGTTGGTATCTGTATATTAAGTTTATGCCCATTCACTTTGATGAGTTTTCCTTTTTTCTTTCTTTTTTTTTTAAATCATTGTTCAAGTACAGTTTTCTCCCTTTTACTCCCAATCCAGCCCACCCACCCAACCCTCCCCACTTCCCTCCCATTTCCACCCTCCCCCTAGTTTTTGTCCATGTGTCCTTTAAATTTGTTCCTGTAAACCCTTCCCATTCTCCCCTGAAATTCCCTCTTCTCTCCCCTCTGGTCACTGTCAGCCTGTCCTCTTTTTCAGTGTCTTTGGTTATATTTTGCTTGTTTCTTTGTTTTGTTATTTAGGTTCCTGTTAAAGGTGAGATCATATGGTATTTGTCTTTCACTGCCTGGCTTATTTCGCTTAGCATAATGCTTTCCGGCTCCATCCAAGCTGTTGCAAAGGGTAGGAGCTCCTTCTTTCTTTCTGCTGCATAGAATTCCATTGTGTAAATGTATCATAGTTTTTTGATCCATTCATTTACTGATGGGCATCTAGGTTGCTTCCAGCACCTAGCTATTGTAAATTGTGCTGCTATGAACATTGGGGTGCATAGGTTCTTTTGTATTGGTGTTTTAGTGTTCTTAGGATATAGTCCCAGCAGTGGAATTGCTGGGTCAAAAGGCAGATCCATTTTTAGTTTCTTGAGGAAGTTCCATACTGCTTTCCATAGTGGTTGTACCAGTCTGCAGTCCCACCAACAGTGCCCTAGGGTCCCCTTTTCTCCACAACCTCTCCAACACTTGTTGTTTGATGCTTTGTTTATGATGGCCATTCTGTCTGGTGTGAAGTGGTATCTCATTGTGGTTTTAATTTGCATCTCTCTGATAGCTAGTGATATTGAACATTGTTTCATGTGTCCTTGGATTTTTTTTTATGAATTTTCTTACTGTAATTTTTTATTCAGTTGCTTCTGCGTTTTATAAAGTGTGTTATAATGTGTAAATAGTTACAATTTTCATATTTTCTCTCTTGTTTAACTGTCTAAAACCTCCAGGACAGAGTTTAATAATGGTGATAAAGGACACTTTTACTTTCTACCTTTACCTTAGAGTTTTAGAATTGATTGCTTTGGGTTTCAAAGTATTGCATCCAAGTAGGAATTCATTTTATAATTAGAGAGAATGCAAAAGAACTAAAATGTGTAGTAAATTACAACTCCAGTGTTCTCCTTTTGGGCTCTTTTGTTACATCTTTGGGAACCTGGAGGTTCAGAAAATATATTTTTTTCTTCAACAATTCTATTTTTGAAACCCTAAAATATATTGGTAGGTCTTCCTCCTTTAGAGTATGTAAAATGGTGAATATAATTAAATTTTTTTTGGAGATTTTACAGTGCCTAATGTTGCGCATTCTTTTATCGTACTTGTAAATTTAGAAAACGTTGATAGGACTGTGTTTTGGTCTCAGGTCTTTCCTGGAAATTGATTTTGTAAATGCATTTTTATTTTATGGAGAATCCTTACAGATTTTTTGGGAAAACTTATTTATTTGCTTTCTGTTTCTGAGTTCAGGATTATAAAACAAATCTAGTTAATAGGGCACCCCATGTATATTCTCCTTAATGAACAACATGCCTTTATACATAGCTCCTGCTTATGAAAAGTTCAGTGTGGTTATATTTCAAGGCTACTTTGCAGAAAGTTTTATTGTACTTGCTATGTTGAGAAAAAGATTTTGATTCTTTAGTTTGCTTGCCATGTAAACAGAATGACTTTAGGGTTTGTCTCTGTAAGAAATGTCCAGATCTGCAGAGAATTTTTATAAGAGTTTATTTAAGCCAGGAATCAAGTTCTCAGATTCTCTGGAGAATGCCAGTTTTGCAGTTTCTTTTATATTTTTGGAATTAAGAAGGGAACATAAAATTACCTGAAGGTTGGAGAAAGCAAGGCACAGTGTAGTTAACAAGACTATTTGCGTCCAGAGAGGTCTGATAAAGGATTACTTGTAGCATCTCAAAGGTGTGTTAACCTAAATTCACAAGAACAATGGACAGGACTTGCTTAAACCTTTCATTAAAGAAGTTATAGGCCTGGAGCATGACTAACCACCACTTAGGAATTTATGATCATATCATCCTGTAAGGCTACTTTCCATCATTGGACTTGTCTGTTTTATTAAAGAACCCCTTTTTTGTTCACAGGTTCACGTTCTTAAACTTTTTTTCTCTTTTACTAGTCTTAATTTTTTGGGTAGTAGAAAGCACACGAACTTCATGAGGGCCAGAATGACCTTGGTATAAATTCCAGCTGCTCTTTATTTATAGACTGATGGCTTTGAATAAATTTACCTAATCTCTGAGCCTAGTTTGCACATGTGAAGTGAATGTAAATCAGTACTATTGTTCTCTTTTTCAGAATTGGGCATTAATAGCATCATTTATAATCTCAGTATTATAAATATGCTAGCTCAGGCTCTTATGTGATAGGCACAAGCCCAGGTTTGGTGATCCTTAAAGTATTTTGTGTTTGTTATTGCTCTCAAAACTTTGAAAACCCTTAGAGAGCCCTGCAGCAAAATCACATGATTTATGCAACTAACAGACTAACTCTTTGTTTAATTAGAACTCTTGGACTAAGTCTTGTGTACTCACATGTATGAACACTAAGTACACCTTTTACCTCTTATGGTTACCAGGTCCTCCCACTTTGCTCTACTCCTCTTTTTGTACTGTGATTTAAGAGGGAGAGGGCCAAAGACTTAAAATGTGTACTCTAGGAAACTTACTGCAGTTCATTTTAGAGAGATATTTAGGACTTCTGAAAGTATTTTTACAAAACACTTAAGAATATTTAAATATCAACTATTCATTAAACACGTGCATAGCATTTTCTTGGAATTTGCAGGAATATAAAAGTATGCTCCGATTCTGAGTTTCTTCCAGGGTAGTCTAGTTAGAGTTCAAAACAACTCAAAAATATTGAAATGTCAGATATTAAGCAATTTAAATGTAAAAGATTACCAAAAATGTATGCTATATAAGTCAGGAGATTTTGTCCTATGTATTTCATACAAAGCATGGTGAGTTTTGGTTTCCTCGTAAAATAGCAGTAAAAGTTCCCTATGGAGGATCATTACATCTAAATGAGAATAAATATGTAAAACCCAGCTACAGTGCATAAAATCCACATATATTCTTTCTGTACTTAGGTATGCTTATAATAAAAAAAAAGTAAGGTGTATTATGTGACACAAATATGCAGGTAGAAGAAAATGAACAGTAAATCTTCTCATTCCAAGCCCTAGGTTCTTTCCTGTTCATTTCTGTACCAAGAGCACAATTTAGAATATTTCCAGTAATTATTCTATGTACATATGCAATTATATTTTTATAATACGTAAGTGGGAACATACTGTAAATGTTTCCTGCTTTTTCACTAAAAATAGATTTTGGCAGTCTTTCCTATCAGCAAATGCATGTTTTTAGACATGTTGTTTTATTGTTATTGATTTCTGAGTGTTTTATTATTTCAGTGTATAAAGTGTGTAATAATATAACCTCTCTTTTTCCCCAGCACTCATTTAATGTGTTTAAAATGTTAACTTAAAACCTTTCCCTTTTTAGGGTTAAATCACTATCCTGAAAGTCCATCCTCCCAAGAAGAAGGGACAGAAAGAAAGAGCTCTTTGTAAGAAAAGCTTGTGTATCCCATGAACGAGACAGCGGAAAACCGATTGGAGTGCAGCAGGACTCCTGAGCCAGAAATACGGCTCAGAAAAGGGTACCAACCTGATGGTACAGAGAGAAGTGATAATGGCAACTACCAAGGAGATTTGGAGCCTGTTTTAGAGGCATCTGCTCTTTCTGCCCATCATAAAAAAGTAAGTTGAGGTGGCAGGATGGTAAGTAAAGCAAAAGTTTATGGGAGTGTGGCTGGAGAGAGGATAGGATTTTGAAAAGGAACCTTGAGCACATTTGTAAGTTTTGTTCAGGATCATTTGCAGTCTCTTATTCTTAAATTAGCTAGGTACTACTCAATTTCGTAGTTACGCCTTTTCTGTTGATACTTAAAATCATACTTAACTGCTTCATCTTGTTTGAGGAAGGAAATGTGTAGTGCTTTAGTAATGACATTATTGTTTATATTTTGGAGAAATTCTAATTGTATTCTGCAAGTACTTCTTCATGTATGGGTTATCTCTAGTGCATACATTGGAAGTCAGTAGAGTACTGAGAAAGGAAGGCAGATTTTAATCTTTCACTTCCCAGAGAAAAGAGCAGCCTTTATTCAGGCCACCATAATAAACCTAGAGAAAACAAAGGTAGAAATACCTGTAAACAGCATCAGAAAGTCATTGCTATAGATATTTCGCTATGTGCTTTGGAACCTTGGAATTACGCAGCATGCATTCAGTGTTGTGGCTCAAATGGTTGGTTATTGCCATTAGTAGTTTGTGAAATTAATTTTGGTATTACAAGCAGTATTTAAAATATTAAACAGCAAAAGAGAATAAATATTATTGAGCTGCATGCATACATTAATATACATTTATTTGATGAAATTATTTAGTTTTATATAGATACATGTTTATGTATATAGATAGGAATAATATGCATTTCTTACTGTGGGTCATAGTTAAAAACATTTGGGCCTTTAATTGAAACTGCATCTTTACCATTCATTATAAGAGATGTGCTAATTATGTGGGTAATAGTGGTGCCGGTGTGAACTTCCAAGGGTTGTCTTGGCCATTGAAATCTTATATAAAAATTTCACCAGGGCTTTGTAACGATATAGGCTACTGTGACAAGAAATTTAAGGTTATTTCTTCTTTTATTCTTGGTTACATTTTGTAAGCTAACTTTGTACTAGATTGTGCTATAGTGACTGATCATTTAGATGTGTGCGTGCGTGTACTCCATGTACACAGGCTGATTAGTAATTTATAGGATTAATAAAAAAGTATGTGCCTACAATAACTGTGAGTGTAATTTGGTCTTAAGTTAGCATTACTGTTTAAAAAGAAGTTTTTCAGATATCTTAGGCAAGAATTTTTTTTCACATTTAAGGCTTTGCTTTTTTGTTGCCATTTTATAGTAATATGTACTAGCAGCTAAGACATTTCCTATTTGGGCTGAGCAAGGTGTTTTTCTCTCAGGCCTAAATAGTTGTATTCAGCTAGTGAAAATTATCACTAGGTTTGGATGAGTGAAATTTTTACTAAGGCCTAAATAGTTGTATTTAGCTAATGAGCATTATCACTAGGTTTGGATGAGTGAAATTTTTTAATCTTTTTTTTTTTCTTTCTTGTAGTAAACACATAACATGAAATCTATCTTCCCACCTTCCAAAGATGTGCATGTTGGGTTAATTGGCAAGTTTACATTGTCCCAGTCTGAATGAATGGGGTTGTCTGTGAGTGTATCCTGTGGTGGAAGGGTATATACTCCAGGGTAGATTACTACCTTGTGCTGGGAGAGGCTCTGGCTATCTGTGACCCTGAACTGGGATAAATGAGTTGGGAAATCATTCTCTTACTTGTTTTTATTAATTGTTCTCGGATGCATGTACAGCTATATTTATTTCATTGTTTAATATTAAAAGTGCTTTGGGTCTTTATTTAGAAGTTTGGTAATGTTTTTGTGACCCGTGGTAATGTTTTTGCTATAGGAAGTTAATTCTTAGTTATATTAATTAGCTGATGGTAAAACTGGTTTTGTTATACGTTGTTTCACTTAAAGTTGGAGTTTCTAAAAACCTATTGGTGTCAAGTGAGGACTTAGTGTACATACACCTTGTTGTACAGTGGATCTCGAGAACATACTCATCTTGTGTGACTGAAACTATACCCCTCAGTCCCTGGTAACTGCCATTCTATTTTCTTCTTTTGTGGGTTAACTAGTTTAGATACTTTATTTAAGTGGAATCACATAGTATTTGTTCTTCTGTGATTGGCTTAACTTTACTCAACATAATGTCCTCAAGGTTTGTCTGTGTTGTACCATATGACAAGCCTTCTTTTTTAAAAGCTGAATAATATTACCTTGTATTTATTTACCACATTGTTTTTATCCATTTGCCGACTATAGACATTTAGGTTGTTTCTACCTCTGCTACTGTGAGTAATGCTGCAAATATCTCTCAAGATACTGGTTTCAGTTCTTTTGGATAAATACCCAGAAGTGGGATTACTGATCATACGGCAATTCCATTATTAATTTTTTGAGGAACTTCTAGACTGTTTTCCAAACCAGCTGCATTATTTTACATCCCCAACAATGCATAAAGGTTCTGATTTCTCCACAGCTTCAACAACACTTATTATTTACTTTTTTTTGATAATGGCCATCCTAACATGTGACATGGTATCTGATAGTTTTGATTTGCATTTACCTGATGATTAGTAATGTTGAGCATCCTTTTCATATGCCTGTTGGCCACTTGCATGTCTTCAGAGAAATGTTTATTCAAGTCTTCTGCCAATTTTTAAATCAGGTTATTTTAAAAACATTTTTTTCATCTTGCAAGATTTGAAATTTTTATTTTTTTAATATATTTTATTGATTATACTATTACAGTTGTCCCATTATTTTTCTCCTCTTTATTCACCTCCACCCTGCACCCTCCTCCCACCAGCTTTCCCTCTCTCCTCCCTTTTAGTTCATGTCCATGGGTCATACATATAACCCATTTGACTTCTCTATTTCCTATACTATTTTTAACCTCTGCCTGTCTATTTTGTACCTACCATTTATGCTTCTTATTCTCTGTACCTTTTCCCCCATTCTCCCCATGCACCCCACCCCCCGCCATAACCTTCCATGTGATCTCCGTTTCTGTGATTCTGTTCCTGTTCTACTTGTTTGGTTAGTTAGTTTGTTTTTTTGTTTGTTTGTTTTTTTAGGTTCAGTTGTTGACAGTTGTGAGTTTGTTGTCTTTTTACTGTTCATATTTTTTATCTTCTTTTTCTTAGATAAGTCCCTTTAACATTTCATATAATAAGTGTTGGTGATGATGAACTTCTTTAACTTAATGTTATCTGGGAAGTACTCGATCTGCCCTTCCATTCTACATGAAAGCTTTGCTGGATAGAGTAATCTTGGATGTAGGTCCTTGCCTTTCATGACTTGGAATACTTCTTTCCAGCCCCTTCTTGCCTGCAAGGTTTCTTTTGAGAAATCAGCTGAGAGTCTTATGGGAACTCCTTTGTAGGTAACTGTCTCCTTTTCTCTTGCTGCTTTTAGGATTCTCTCCTTATCTTTAATCTTGGGTAACATAATTATGATGTGCCTTGGTGTGTGCTTCCCTTGGTCCAACTTCTGTGGGTCTCTGAGCTTCCTGGACTTCTGGAAGTCTATTTCCTTTGCCAGATTGGGGTAGTTCTCCTTCATTGTTTGTTAAAATAAGTTTTCAATTTCTTGCTCTTCCTCTTCTCCTTCTGGCACCCCTATGATTTGGATGTTGGAATGTTTAAAGTTATCCAGGAGGTTCTTAAACCTCTCCTTAGTTTTCTGAATTCTTATTTCTCCATTCTGTTCTGGTTGACTATTTCTTCCTTCTGGGCCTTTGATTTCAATCCCTTCTGGGCCTTCTGGGCCTTCTGGGCCTTCGATTTCAATCCCAGTTTCCTTCCCTTCACTATAGGTTCCCTGTATATTTTCCTTTATTTCACTTTGCATAGCCTTTACTTCTTCCTCTATTTTGCGACCATACTCAACCATTTCTGTTAGCATCCTGATTACCAGTGTTTTGAACTCTGTATCTGGTATATTGGCTATCTCTTCATTCCTTTAGTTATATTTTTGGAGCTTTGATCTGTTCTTTCATTTGGGCCATATATTTTTGTCTCGGTGCACCTGTTACGTAGTGACTAGGTAGAGTCTTAGTTATTCCTCAGGGTGAGGCAACCCACATTGTCATTGCTGTGTTGTGGTGCGCTATGTGGGGCAGGGGTCCGAGAGGGAACAATGCTGCCTGCTTAGCTCTTGGCCAGCTTTCAGTGACTTCCTCTGCTACCCACAAGCAAATCGGGCCCTTCTGGTGCTGATTCCCGGGTGAGTGGGTTTGTGTATTGTAGGACCCTATGGGTTTCTCTAATGAACTTTCCTTTGAGGCCCAGAGTTTCTCCCACTGCTGCAGTTCCCACAGATTTTTACAGTCAGAGGTTTTGAGGCTTTATTTTTCTGTTCTGGAACCCTGGGTTGCACAGTTTATCTCTCTCCCCAGTTGTTCTTCCCAGTTTATCTGCACACAAACGTGGCTCCACCCGGTCCACCAGCTGCTGCCTTGCCTCGAATCCTCTCTACCCCAGCTGCTCAATCCACCCCTCCTCACCATCTGGATGAATGTTTCTTTAACTCCTTGGTTGTTGGACTTCTATACAGTTGATTTTCTGGTAGTTCTGGTTACTTTTGTTTTTAAATTTGTTCTTGTCCTTCTTTTGGTTGTGTGAGGAGGCAGTGTATATCTACCTTATGCCTCCATCTTGGCTGGAAGTCCTATTTTTATGTTTTTGTTATTGAGTTCTTAGGAGTTCTTTTTTTTTTAAAAAAGATTTTATTTATTTTTTAGAGAGGGAAGGGAGGGAGATAGAGAGAGAGAGAGAGAAACATCAATGTGTGGTTGCTGGGGGTTATGGCCTGCAACCCAGGCATGTACCCTGACTGGGAATTGAACCTGCGACACTTTGGTTCACAGCCCACGCTCAATCCACTGAGCTATGCCAGCCAGGGCAGGAGTTCTTTATATATTTTGCATATTACCCTTTATAAGGTCTATGGATTGCAAATATTCTCTTTTATTCCTTAGGTTATGTTTTCACCGTTTATTGTTTTCTTTGCTGTAAAGAATCTTTTTAGCATAATGTAGTCTTATTGTCTA